ACAGCTCGGGAGAATATACATGTATATTACATAAATCAAATGTAGTCATAAGTGTATGCTTGTTTTTAATTACATATTATATAAAAAGATGAACAACAGTAATCGCCCTAATAATAACTAACTGTTTCATTGAAAAATAAGACAAATTTTAAATGTATTTTAGGCTGGATAACCAGTAAATTTTGAGTGTGCGAAAGCGGTCATAAGCAAACACACATTATGTACAATTATGTACAATTTTCAAAAGACAAATATTACTATCAAGCCGTACAGTGTATTGTGGAGTTAAGGTGGTAGTACAAAATACAAATTGAAACCGAAACACCCCATACGTATACGGCATCATAATGAACTATCTAGAAACACAGGGTACTTTATAAATAATGGGAGGTAAAATTGCATAATATTCACACGCATCTCATTTAATTAATTCATTTATAAATATTATTGTTTTCAAATCTACATAACAACAATCTGCCTATTCTAATGTTTCCGAGCTTTGATTTCCACCCAGCAACGTCTTCAGTACCACGCCGTATATATCTGATATTTGAGGGTTTCTGTGGATGTCTTTTTGATGATCTTTTTACTGTTTTAACTAAAAAATATATTGGTATAATTATTATCGTATCTTTGAAATAAAGCAATTTAACTGTAAATTCCAATGATGGCGATACGGACTTAAGGATATACTATGCTCATTCTTGAGTAAATTATTTTAATCAGAAAATTTTATTGAAATATATGAAATTCTTATTAAATACTCGTATGTCTAATTTTGATAAACTAAACTAATGGATAAACTATATACGGGAAGCTGCATTCCCTACTACGGGAAAAGTAAAGTTGGTCCTTTCTTGAAAACTTGCCAGTTTTTTAATAACACTTTATATTCATATTGTGAATACAAAAGTGCGTAGAATTTTAAACATTTCTACTTTGTGTGAAGTAAAAATGTGTTTATTTCATATTAAGAAAGATAACGTGTAGACATGTTTAATATTTACAACGAAACAGAATTGATACAATAGAGCTATTTTAAAATTGTATTGACCCTGAACTAGCATTTTGACTGAATAAGCTAGGACATCACAAGGCCCGGAATATTAAGCACAGAGTGTGATCCGCGCCAGAAAAATTTGTGTGAGCCAAATAATTTCAAGAATCAGATTGAAACTCTTTATTAATTTTTATATTTTATCAATAGCTTGTAATACTTGAATCAACTGTATAACGCCCGATAACACTTGATTTGTATACAGATTTTGACTATCGGGAAGTGATACATGCATTAAATGTGAACAAAAATGTCCAAGTATACTATAAAATTACTGATTTTCAAAGTTCTTTCTAACCTAAATTAATTCAGCAAATACAGAAAATTAACAGAACACCGTTTATGTAATAATTTTTTTAATCTCAACCCCATGACATCCGTTAAATAACCAATTAAAACCTAAGGACCATGAATCGAACATTCTTGGTAGAGATTATGTTTTATGCAAAATGTAAGCTCTAGCACACTGGGTCTAAGATGAGCAAATTTTATTTTTGAAGGTTTTACTATTTACAAGTACATATTTGGAAAATCCTTATCCACCGGGTCAGAGCAATGTTAAACCAATAACCATAATTCAAAAAGACTTATTTGACATTCACTGGATGATATTTATTCCAAATATCAACGATCTAGTCAGAAAATGGAGATTTATAAATACTTCACTTTATTCACACTCCCAACGGGGAAGTGTCAAATTTGACCTTAGTGTCATTATTTTATTAATCCTGGACGATCCATTAAATGATGATACTTTATTTTAAATACTTGGCTCTAGCTGTTTTAAGGAACATATATACATTTTTATCCTAAATGTAGTTTCAAACAACACAGATAAAAAAAATAGCGGAAAAAAGAATAAAACGATGCCTTTTCCAATTTACATTGCAATTGTTAAGATTTTTTTAAATTGTACTAAATGCATATGAGAAAAAAAACAATGACCCCGGACGGGGCACATTTTAATCCAAAGGCCATAATTTGAACAACTTTGTAAGCAGAACAATTTAAAATACTTTATACCTAATTCTTTGTAGGTTCAGTTGGATTTTTTCCTTGAATCATGTACATAAAGTAAAGACCATGATCCCAGTATTGGCATTAAACTATTTAGAGAGCTATTATTCAAACTTGAAAGTTTTTAATGCAAAATATCTAAAATTTAGCCTTCCTGATTTCAATGTCAAGATTTTTCAAACTTTCATTTTATACATGAAACGAAAAACATGACTCCCAAGACATTGCTAATTTAAACTTAAATACCTTTATTTCACCGAACACTGAAGAGACCCACTAGACAATATATCATGTTAAATATATAGGATCTTGTATACGCAAGGCTCAGAGAAGAAGATTTACAGTTTAAGTGTATAACATATACACAGAAATTGAGATAATAAGTTCCTATGTGTAGTCAATATTTGTTATGAACGTTGATTGTTGCTTCGGGAAGTCAAAGATTGTAAAGGAAACTAAAATGTTGCTATGGAAGTCACTAACTTCTGTTAAGGTGATGAGGCATTCTACCTCAAAGTGACAATATATTCAATTATCACTTTTATTAACAAATATTATATTTGTCTTAATAATTCTATCAAACACTTTGAAAGCATTATGTCAAGTGAAAGCTGTGACAGATACCAGAGGGACAGTAAAGCACATTTTTCTTTTTCTTTCTTTTTAATAAAATGATCAATTGGGTCATAATTTTTTAAGAGTATATTGTGATTCCTTTCCGTACGATACTTTCGTTTATACAATTATCTTACGTAAAACCTATAGGTCTGAGAAAGAGAAACAAATTTTTGACACTTCCTTTGATGTTAGGTTGGACCTTTTAAATCGGCATAACTTATTTGATAATTTAGTAATTAACATGCGGTTGTTTAAAACGAGTGATATGAAATTCATTCACGGAGGATTCCGTGTCAGGGATTTTTGTTTCCTCAATGAGTTGCTTCATTTTCTTTAATAACTTTTTTGGTAAGGTAAAAAAGTAGCATATAAGTTCCCGTTACGTAATATTTTGTTCAGAGGAGATAGAAAACAATCTGAGACACAGTTCTCTGGATATAAAGTCCATGCTTATAATTTTTATTTTCCAAAAGTTTGATGACAAAACAATAACCGATTTAAAAGTTCAAAAGCAAGTATTGACAAAGGCATTTTTTTAAACACCTTTTTTATGATCGAAGACATGTCATGCATGAAATCTAAATGCATAACACTAATAAGAAGTTGATTTAAATGACATTTATGCTAGTACATGTACCACGGAATGTGTCTGTTGTCGCTTTAAAGCAAAAGCAAATTTAATAAGAATAAAAGAACATGCCAGATTATTTTAGACAATCTTATCTCTTCTTCATTATTATAACCTGCTTTAGCAGGAAATTGGCAAAACGTTATGAATATTATATCTGAACAATAACCGAAGTTTGCTTAAAAAATAGACTATGATCATCTTAATTAAAGGTAAAATACTAGGAAATTCTAGAAAAGCCTTCATTTAGTCTGACTTAGTTTAATTTTTTTATTTATATTTACAAATTGAGAATAACAAATACGCTCAGATCTACAAAACACGTATTTTACCTGTAAGTGAAAATATCTATTATTCGACACTGCGTACACTTTAATCATCATTAAAACGACTCATAACTTTTGTATTCCTTGGACAAATATTTGACAATTTTTGATATGCAATCTACACTTACTTATTCGAAAATGCATTCAATCAGAAACAAAACAATGACCGTAATTATTCGACACTACTGCTTAGAATTTTCTTTCATATTTGCATTGTCAGAAAATAGTGCCAAAGTATCAACTAGTCTAATATTCGTCTGTGAAGGAGCCAAGTAAAACATGAATTTGAATAACACGCGTGATTTACACTACGGTATGAAGCGATGTTTTTGCAACTCTAATAAAAATACAAATACATTAACCATGTACAATACATACATCAGCTTAACACTTCGATGCTCATTTTAAGTTTCTAACTTCTCAGGGAATGTTGTGTAAAGCTGTGGTGCAGCCCTTATATAAAACCTCAATTGTTAAGTTTAAAATAAAATCATAATCTACTTTTACTATATACAACCATGATAGAAAGCTTTGATACGATGGCACATTTGTTATCATGATCGAAATTTATTATAAATTTTGTATCTATAACAAACCGTACGTATTAAAAAAAATTAAAAGTAAATACAAAAAGTAAGCTAAAAACACTTGACACAACTGATCATCTGATGTTATACTTTCGATAAAAATGTATCTTATCAGTAAATTCTTTGTCTGAATTTTCGTTAGGCAGTTAGAAAAGAAAACAATAGATGTTTCATGCCTTCCTTTTGTAACACATCCGCAGAAACACAAGGATATATCGAAAGTCCGAGTCTAGAGAGCGAATTTTGTTCTTAAGTTAGAGGTCTTCTGCAAATGTTAATGCAAGTGAAATATATTAGCCTGATTCTACCACTAACGTTGTTTAACCTATTTTGCGCTTAAATATTTAAGGTTATATATCATCCCAAGTTATATCAAAATTAATCGATGAAAGATGAAATCGTTGATAGGACACAACATTGTTCATACATATTTAAAATATTTATGTCAAAATTGTAGGAAAACATTCCGGTCATATTGAGTTTGTTCTTTAAATCGGTTGATGACATAGAACATCTTTTGGAAGGGAAGCGACACTTTTTAAACAAAACTTTGTACACCTTGCTTGCTTCAGTACAATCAATATCATCTAGATCGGGTCATTACTAAATATCATTATCATTTAACGTAAAACATTAAAAAAGAAAATATGATAACAAGTTATAATTTTTTCACAAATAAGTAAATTGATGTAAATTGAAAGTAATTCTAAAGAGTTATACCTTATGTAATAAAATAACTTCTATATAAAAAATACTATCAAATTCACTTACAAGCTCCCTCCAGAAAACCTGAAAAATATAATTAATGTATATAAAACAATACAATACTAAAAAGGATTGAATACAGTTGTCATTTTGTGATGGATAATTCAGCCAAGATAGGAGACTTACGAAACATCTAAGGAAATGATTACATGATTACTCTTTTATTATGCTGCACATTATGGATCCTCTGAATATTTTTTATACTCATATACATGAACAATTAAAGAAGATGATCACATTTTATCACATAATTTTCAGTAAACAGTGAGATTATATTTTGATCATTTTACAGTAAATTACATAATATATTATTTTCACAGTAGCCGCACTATATCTGTACAAAAATGTAAATAAAAATTAATGGAATTATTGTAAGAAAAACGCTAATTTGTAAGTAAAATATGATAAAAGGCGAAAAGTAAATCTGTTGTTCAATCTGTTAATATCATACAAGCCTTAAAACAAACAACATCCTATATATCATATTAAATTATATGAAGAATAAGTGATGTCAACTGAAATACTTTAATTTATTTTTTACATAACCATTGCAGAGTCGATTTTACTGAAACTCTTTATTAGAAATAGTAATACCTAAAACACTCAAATGCTGATAAAAAACAACATGTAAGAAAACATAAGTTAAAAACTTGAAACAAAAATACTACATAGGCGAGGTTATATACTCCAGAATATGAAATTCTAAATTAAAGTAATAAAAATAATAAGATAATTTGATTTAAACATATTTTTTTGCCAAAACTAAAACATATACATACAATGTAGACAGTTACGAGGGGTGTCCCAGAATTACGTGGACTTTTGCTATAACTTTTTTATTTTTTAATGCATTTTTTAGCAAATTTGTACACAATACCTTTAACATATCTTTAATGAATATGTTCATTATTTTAAAATTTCTAACATTGCTTCTCTATATTTTACGTCGCTATAGTAACGCAGTATGCGCAGGGCGGGGCAGTCCAATATTTTGTATTTATAAGTTGTCTTTACTTTCGTATATCTTGCGTATGTATACGTAAAAAATGGCGCGACGTCGTAACCATATGCAGTGACGTCATATGAACGTTCGTTTGGAATTTTGACGTCATAGCTGTTTCCGTTATTGTGTACCTGCGGACAACTGACAACCGTTGCTCTTGAATATTTAACAAAAAATGACGGGAACATCGGACTATCATCAAGTTTTGTGTTAATCTTGGGAAGACGCCAACACAGACGCAGGAAATGTTGGAGACTGCAAAAGTGAGACCTCCTGTTTGTCGATCACTTGTTTTCAAGTGACATAAGCGTTTTCGAGACGGCCGGAGGGACATTGAAGACGAAAAGGGTCGTGGGAGAAATTCAACGTTGACTGCGGCGTCGATTAAGGAAGTCAAGGACGTCATAGATCGGGACAAGCGTTACAATGCTGAGTTCTATTCAAGAGTAAGCAATAATATTGTGTTTAAAAAAAATATTATTTTTAAAAATTAAGCTTATCACAATTTATTATTTTAAACGCAATTTATCCGCTTCAGCTTTTAGAAAAGTGAACTCAAACTGCTATAGTAAGCAGTGCGCATGATAGGTTAACGCACATTGTCTTTGCGTACAAATAAAACTTCGCAATAATAATAATAATAATAATTATAAAAAAGAATAATAATAATAAAATAATAATGATAAATAATAATAATAATAATAATACGGCGTCAGCATTATCACCGTCGTCTTTAACACTATTATCGTAACAAAAGTTAATAGTATGCTTTATCATTATTATTTTTATTATTATTGCAGTGTACGACCAGTGGATATATCGACGCCATAGGTGTATTGAGTTAGGCGGCGTGTATGTTGAGAAAAACTGACATTCGACGCCACGCATTTATTAACAACTAGCGACGCCACCGGAATGACGTCGTAACGTCGGAATGGACTGCTCCGCACCCGCTACCCCTTGTCTCATTACCTGCCAACAGACACTGATCCAGTTGCCGGACAACTTTGAATTTTTTTGTACAAATGCAATAAAGTTGCATTTAGTTCATGTTAATTTTGTTTGTTTTTATTTTCAGTAGTTTTGAAGTACAGCAAAAAAAGTCCACGTAATTCTGGGACACCCCTCGTACAATACAATGACATGACATATTTGGCAAAAGGGTTGACCCACAAGTTCTCTCAATATAAGCAACGGGTCTTCCCTGATAAATTACAATAACATATTTTACAAGAATGACTAATAGTTAGATAGAAGTAACAATACTCACACATATATAGTACTTGGCTTTAAAAATGATTATAGGTAAGAAAGAACAATAAAAATAATTGGGTGTACATGTTCTCTAGCTTGAATGGTATTTAATGATGTTAACTGATTTTTATATAATTTGCGTTACAATGACTTGGAAAACATGTACATTTGCCAAATATAACAAAAACAAACAGAATGCAAATAGATTTTGAGAAAAGGAAATATAGAAGGAAAAAAAGAAGATGAAAGGAAAGAATCTTGTCTATTGTTTAGCAAGAATGAAAGAAACATACATACATTAATATCTATTGGGATTGTGCTGGTTTGATTTCAAAATCAAACGCGATTGCTTACTTTTATGAAATGCTGAACAGTCAAAAATATTTTATTATTATTTTCTAAAGACAACTCTTTGCTACCAACTAAAAGTAATTGGACATTTAAAGGGTGAAATTGCCTTAATTTGTTAAAAAGATCAATTCTCTCATTTCGATATTTCGGACAAGTAAACAAAAAATGGTTAACATGTTCTATCTCATAACCGCATGAACAATTTGCATCCTGTGACAAATGATTGCAGAATAAGTGAAAATTTAAGTTACTGCATGCATTTCTAAGTCTGCAGTGTAACACAGAGAGTTTTCTTTCACCTGTTAGGTACCATTTTGGAATGTCTGTAGATCGAAAGGTTGATTTCATTAATAGAGATTTAAAAGATGACAAAGTTTCTACAGATCTTGTTTCAGGTTGCAAATTGTTCCATAGCATCGAAGGCACAAAAGAAGAAGAAAATATATGAGTTCGTCTGTTTTAAGTTGCAAAGTCTTCTAAGATTGTATGGTGTTGTATTATGAACTCTTTCTGGAAAAATATTACTTAAATAATCAGGAACGTCTCTATTATGAACTATATATGTTAAAATAAGTGTTTGGTATGTTCTTCTATCAGATAGTGAGAGCCAATTAATTTCTTAATATAAATTTTGAAGAGAAACTGAACGGGTTAGACCGCTTACGATTCTGGCTGCCTCATGCTGTATTTTATCTAACGTATCTGTTTCATAATTTGTACACCCATCCCATAAAACAGAAGCATATAAAAGAAATGAAATATAAATTTGGTTTAGGGTTTCCCTATTAAGGGAATATTTCAGTTTTCTCATTGTACCTAGTAATTTAGAAGCCGATAATGTTATATTTTTAATATGATCGTGCCATTTTTCATTATAACTTAAAGTTAAACCTAAATGTTTATGACTTTCAACAAATTTTACTGGTATGCCATCAAATTGTAATTTTGGTTTGTTAACGTTGGATTTTAGGGTAAAAACAATTGCTTCTGTTTTGTTAGAATTAAAATCTGCAAGCCATTTTTTTAGACCATAAGATAAATCATTTAAAGATAAATCATGATTAATAATTCCTTCTAGATCGAATATTGATGATGTTGTACAAGACAAAGAGGTGTCGCCTGCAAATAAACGAATTATACATAACAAATTTTCTACAATTTCATTAACATAAACAAGGAATAGTGGCCCAAGCACCGAGCCTTGGGGGACCCATGCGTTTTGCAGTCAGTGGTTGTGATAAAGAAGACCCTACAAAGACCTTTTGACTTCTGTTAATTAGATAACTTTCAGTCCATTTCAACAAGTTGCCTTTGATACCATTTTTCTGAAGTTTCAGAAAAAAACCTTTTTGATATGTCACAAAACATTACACAAGTAAATGTTCTATCATCTAAATATTTAACTACTTGGTGGTATATATCTAATAATTGAAAAATCGTTGAAGGAACCCTGTCTGTTTCGAATAAATCAAATTATTGGCTATTAAATGATTGTATATATGTTTATAAACAATTCTCTCCATTAATTTTCCTATACAACTTAATAATGAAATCGGACGATAATTTGAAGTTAAATTTGTATCACCTTTCTTAAAAAGAGGCATTACAATTATAGCGGATTTCCATATGGAAGGAAATATACAATCTGCTAGTGACCTATTTAGTAATAAACAAAGGGGTTTACACACAGTACTACATATATTTTTGAGCAATTCATGACTTATAAGATCTTCACCGACTGCCTTATTAATATCTAAATTCCTTATAATGTCAATTATTTCATTTTCGGTTATAGCTATTTCAGAAATAATAATATTGTTTAGGATTATTTGCATTTGTTTCTATTAAAGTGTTCTCTAAATTAGAATAAAACTTTTCTTTGGCATTTTTCTTTAGATTGTTTACTTTGTTCCTTAAATGTTTATACGTTGTACAATGGTAAGTATTTTTTGTAGAAATTGCTATTGATTTTGTCTATCCCTTTTTCTTGAGTATAAGCTAATTTTAGAGTCGTACCATAGTTTATCATACGGCCGAATTGTTACTTCTGTATGTGGAATAAATTTCTCAGACATTTCGATTAACTCTTCTATAAATAGAACTGCACCATCGTCAATATTCATATTATTGATAAAATTCCAATTTGTATTTGATATACAGTTATTTAAACTATTAAAATCAGCTTTATTGTATAACCAGACTTCTTTTTATTGTTCTATGACATCTTAAAGGAGATTTTAAAAATATATTTGTTGCTTTATGGTCCCTTATGTTAGAAGGAACGGGTAACACGTCACTATGTAAACATTTTAAACCATCAGATATGAGTATAGGGTCTATAAGTGTAGATGTTGAATTTGTTACTCTAGTTGGTGACGAAATAACATTTGTATGATTGTATAAAAGCATGACTTGTTTAAGATAGGTATTGTCTATTAGTTGGTTCTCATTTATGTCACCTACAATTGCTATGTTTTCATATTTATCTAAAGCATTGTCAATTATTATTCCAAAATCATTCCGGAAAGCTACGGGTTTACTGGGAGCTCTATATACACAACAAAGTAAAAAGGAAATTGCACGAAACTTAATTTCTAAACATATTGCGTCCACAGAATGCATTTCATACTCTTCTTTTCTACATGAATCAAAATTCAACTAGAACGAGCAGTTACATCTCTACGATAAACACAAGTGTGTGAACTCTCTAGTAATAAGTCATTGGTTCCTATACTGTCTGTAAGGTGTGTTACAGTAAAATAAAGAATATCGTAGTCTAACAAGTTTTCCTTTATAAAATCAAGTTTGTTTCTAATAGACCTAATGTTGAGATGTAGAATTGATATGCTTGATTCATCAGAAGTTTGAACTAGAGGACCTGGATTCATTTCAACGTCTCCTGAATTTATCAATAATATCATTAATAAAAATACAAATTCTAGATTTAAGACGCAAGTTAAAATTTTCCGTATAAACATACTGAAATAAAACTTGAGAGTAATAAGTAAAGCAAAGAAATTTTCAGTCGAAATATAAGGGAATAATTGAGATAGAAATAATTCATTCTTATGGAGCTTTTGAATTCTACAGTTAAAAGCCCAATGGTCGCTCTGTATGAAGCTTAATCGATACCCATTATGTAATAAAACTAAGCATAGGTTTTGAACATGCGACCGTGGACTACAAGTAACAACACAAACATATATAATATAACAGTCTCAAATAGACAAGACAAGAAAAAAAAGAAGCAACGAACTTAAAAAATAGAGCAATATGAAAAAGTATAACTAATAAAACAAAAAACAAATACGGAAGAAAAAAAAGAAACATAATATTTAAATGAAAAAAATAGAGCATGTGTTTGAGGAACAATATTAATGGAATGTTGAAAATAAAGAAGAAGAAAATGTAACATTATAGTACAGATGAATATCTGTAGTAAAAAAATGTGGCATAAAATATTATTTAATTTGCATTTGGTCTTCAGTTTGATGTCAACATACTAACACGTTAGGTGTTATAATGGAAGATCATTTCATGACTAATTCAAACTAAAATACCTATCGGACAATCATATACTAATGCAAATAAGTAAATCACATTGTTAACCGTTACATATGTATAAGATTTCATGAATGACCGATTACAACAAGAAGCCACAGATAAGAAGATAATTCTTCAATAAGTGGAGAGACCCAGTCAAGGAACTTGTCTAAAACAGTTTATCTCAATTTTCCTTATGATATTAAATGTAGTCCAGCCAGGGTCGGGCATAATTTCCAGAAGTGCATGATTCCTAAAATTTGTAGCAATATATGATTCAATGAAATGTGCCAAATACAGAAGCTCTGGAATAGGTGCTACCACAAAGAGAGAAGATATGTTTTCCTATACATTAGTCTACATATACCAATTGACTTTCTGCAAATCCAAGTTTTACCTAAGGGTCATGATTAATGTTATAAATTTACAAAATGATGCTGCATGTCAAATACCAAAGGTCTGGGCTTTGTAGTTTCGAACAATAAAACTTAAATGCGTTTTCCTAAATATATCTAAGTAAATCACATGAAATCGGGGCGGATCAATATTTACCACTGAGGCATTAATAAATATTTTTGTCAGGGTCAATAAAATAATGCTATATGCAAAATATTTAAGCTTTGTGCTTCAAATGATAAGAATTAGTTAATAAGTCCTATATGTCTATATAAAAAAGTAACCCGTTGGTCGGGCCGTAAATATTCTAGGAACATGATCTATATCAATTTTGTAGGGGTCAACAAAGCAATGCAACATGACAAATAGCTGTAGGCATTGTAGTAAAGAAGATACTTATAAATGTGTTTTCCTATATAACATCAAGAAAGTGCCCTCGGGCTGGCTTAATTTGACTAATAAAGGGCATGATTATTGCCAGTTATGTTACGGTCCACAAAAGGATGTAACGTATCAAATCAAATGTCTCGATTCTGGGCAATAAGTCTCAGATGTGCATAACAATATACACTGAATATTTTAGGGCGTATAAAAATAGGTAATTTAAAATCAAAAATCATAATTTGAAATGACATTGAAAGCAAGTATGTATGACATTGTGGACAAACTCTAAAATCATTCCAAAAATGAAACAGTATGTACAACAAGTATCTTATAAAGATGGCAAAGAAGCACAAAGCATCCGATCAATTTTATAAAAAAATGGATTTAATAAAAATTATATGTTAATGGACCAAACAGTGAAATTATCACGAAGACAGGAACATAGACAAAGGACAGTGTCAGGTTTAAATGCCGTCAATGTTGGTTATGGGTGTTTCTAACATTCAACCAATTGTATAATCACCTTAAGAAAAATGCTACAAACTGATTTAATTTTCCTGCGATACGAGCCTTTATAACCTCTTAGTCCTCGTTCGGTTTTATTAAGTTTTACCCATTGCTTTCTTGTAAAAGATAAAATTATTTATACTGGACAAAGTCTGCTTTTCATGAAAAGGCATGGGTGTATCACACTACAGGTTTCATGATCACTGCTATAATCTAACTTTTTTTAAAACTTTCTTTAATCTAACACAAACATGAATTTCATGTTCTCATACACGAATTGCGTTTTACGAATTTAGGACGGTAGCACGTATTAGCATTTGCCATCCACAAACATAATCAAAGGCATTTTCAATATGACCGCGTTGGACGACTGTCAGCGTTTTTATTTTATACTAGTTTAAACAAGACATACGTACTTTCATAGGTTAACAACTAAATAAATGTTTCCATTATTCTATCATAAATCTTGATAAGTTGTTCACCTTAACTTTTATTAGCGAAAATCCATACAGTAAATAAACATTGTTACAGTGTAGAGCGTGTATAAAACAATAAAAACCAATGCTTTCTTCTAAACATAAATATTGTAATGAAGTTATACATATGTACAATTTTCGTTTCTTACATATTAGATCTTTCAAAATGTGCATAGTCTATACGAGCACAAAGGGCTGAAAGTATTTAACTTTCTCTATAAAGCAATAATTAGGTATATACGATCCTTATAAACAGTATCTGATATACTTACAGAGGGCTTTTACTGAATCTGAAACAAATACATAATTCAAAATCACTATAAAAACGAAGTGAAAGTAGGTTTTAATTGAGAAATAGTTTTTTTAATATGCAGTTCATAAAATTGCTGTACGAAATAAAAATGATAGTGTATATAAAACATATATAGCCGAGTTCTTCCTTCGAATAATAATATTTTTCTATTTATGAAAAGAATTTATTTATCTGCATTCAAGTTCTTTTTATAATATTTGAACATATTAAAAGACACAAGATGACGCGCACACATGTATATTGGCACTATCTTAACATATTTAAGAGTATATACAATGTGACTTTTATGTTCTGTGTCTTAAAGACTACATGTATATATATTATCAAAATATAAACAATTGTAAATAACATGATGTAAAAGAATGCATTATTTTACTTATCTGAAGTTAACAATTTGACACATTTTGTTGTATAACACATATTTGTATCAATCTGAAAGCAATTTCTATTATACTTACTCTTTTTTCACAAAATTTAGTCTGAAACAAAAACATATATAATAATAATAATTATTCATAATATGGTAAGCAAATATATTGTACCAGTAACTTTCAGAAATATGAATTTGATATTATGCTTATCAAAGTGTAATTTTAAAACAAGAGTGAATATATGACATGTATGAAAGTCAAAATTTTTCAGTATGCTGTTTTTGAAATTGTCCATCGCCTGTACCTGTACTGTTCAATTATAAAAACGGTAAGCAATTTTTTATATTCTAGGCAGAATTATCTTTAATCATTTAAGGGCCATAATTATAACAATATATAGTCAATCCAGCTCATCTTAACAATGAAAAACTTTGACATTGTGCCTTTTCAATAACAGTTTTGTTCTTTCTTTTGTTTATGATAATTAATCAAAATATACACCTTTGTATGGAAGAGTGCATCATTTTACTTAAAATTAAGATAATATCATATGTATTATTTTTGCAAATAAGCGTTTAAGTCCTTTATCAGTCAAACCATACATCTGATAACCTATTGGATAAGTTTTTATAATTGTTTAATTAATATCTGTTTCAATATGAAAGCGAATTCTACTATACTTACTGTCGTTTCATTGCATTTAACCTGAAACAAATATATATGATAATCTAATCAAATACATTTGTAATTAACAATAATATTATATAAGTAACTTTCAGGCCTATTAATACATGTTCTCTTATTTAATTTGTTTATGATGATAATAACGCTATTCAAAAATGGCACCATGAAATTGTAGTAGACATTGATTTTGCAATGATACACGATTAATATTTACTCTCTAATCCACCCGTTTCCATACGATAAAAACATAACATGTAAATGTTTTTCCTATATAATTCTATGAAAACTCTATTACCCCTAAGGCGGAAGCAAATAAATGTAAGTAGTGTGAAAAAAGAATTCAAAATATCAATGTATTAAAATAAAGAAACTTCAAATGTATTTTCCTAAATATGAGCTATGTAAAGTAGGGAACACCGGATTTGGCCCAGTTTTGTTTCTTAAAGCCCTAATTTAAATAACTTTTGTAGAGTACCTCACAAGATGATGATTATGTAAAATAACGTTCTGACAAAGTATATGTTGAATATTGTGATGCTATATCAACACTGAATATCCATAATGCAGGGTACATATTTTTGGCCAAGTTACATGGCTTTTGATATCTTAGTTCAGGTCCACCTGGAATTTTATTAGCAAATTACAGTTGAACTATTATGTGTCGAATTTCGATAAGTCGTTATTTGAAGGTTTAACGTTGTCTGTAAAAGAATTATTCATGAACATTTTACAATAAATAAGCCGAATTCCATCGAATGGTTCCGACACATAATACATACTTTTTTCTGGCCGCGAAGATCTACATAATCAAAGACACAATCTTTGTCAAGAGACCACCATTCATGTATGTTTAAAACATATTATGTTTAAAATATTGTTGTGACTTTAAAGCTAATAGCCGTGGACTTGCCTGTGTCACATTGATTAAAATATTGTTTTAAACTCCATCCATGAATGAGCAAGTTTTATACCGGATACGATTATATTATGACTTATTGACATTGAAATGTTGCCTCGAACTTTGATATGGTGTTCTGGCTCTTACATGACCAATTCATATTGTACACATTCCACATAATTTAAAAATCAATGTGTTGACATCAACATTCCTTTTTTGAAAAAAGTTTATCTTACGTAAACGTTTTTTTAAACGGCTGTTGATGTGTCACAATCAAATTAAAAAGAACAATGCTTCATATAATTAAACATAAACCTAAAAAAATCTGAAACAAATTATTATTTTTTTTGTTTGTTTTAGCCCAATCAATATAATTATTGTATATCAATGTATATATCATTCTTCATAAACATAAAAATCCATGTAAAGCAATTAAATGTTATTGTGTGATTTTCTCCATATAAGTAGTAAAATTTTGAAAAATTAATAAAAGATAAACAACTGATATAATAATTAATATATCAGCACATATTATCAAATTGACTTACCCACTAATCGGTCCATCCATCGACCTAGACCTGAAAGATAGTAATGATAACCAAAACATTACGATACTACAAATGGTTGAACACTGGTGGTATTTTGGTGGGGAGAAAGAGGAGGGAGTGTGTGTGCGTGGGGGTGGGTGTGTGTGTGTGTGTGTGTGAGAGAGAGAGAGAGAGAAGATAACAATGCCGTTTCAGACACAGTTCAGTTTTTCCACATATTTGTTTGTACTAACTTATATATAAAACATGATTTGTCCCAATATTCACTGTTATATTCTTGCTTGGAGCTGATATATTACAGATAATATTATATTTCTTTTAAAATGCTTTATTGGTGAAAGCATATCTTTGAAAACTAAGATTTATGATCAAACATTGTATTTATTAATCAATTCATTATAAGGTGAGACTTTTCAATCAGATGTTGTTAAGTGTTTTTGTACACCACAAAATAATATCAAAAATATCAAACCTTTTTTAAATATAAACCAAAGTAAAAAAAGATGCAGTATTTTGAAAGAAAAAGACTTAAAAGTTTATAATGCATTAGACAGTAAACACTCGAAAGTGCACTGGTAATGTAATTGACAATACGCCAGAGAAGGGATTGCTCCGCCCACTGATTCACGTGACCCGGTCAGTAAGAACCTTAGACAAAATACGGTACCGATGTATTCGCAAAACTGTTATGCCACTAATGTTACCAATGAATTTACCTTATATAATTATTGTATATATATATAAAACGTTGATGCTTTTAATGTTTGTTTGTTTTTTTTTTGAATAGTAGATCATTTATTTTTCAATGTATAAATGTATTATGGTATCTAACAAAATGTAAAAAAAAGAATATCTGCATTCACGTATTAATTTGCATATAAATACTGATACATATAATATGTAGGGGTACAAACACCTAGAAAATAAATCAAAAAGTTTACTCAAAATCTATTAAAGGAAAAAACAGAGAATGTTATTTTCTACTGTTTACTGCATAATCATAAAAAGAAGGGTATTTTTCCAATATATCACCGTTAAACTTTACTAACAAGTTCATCTAGAGTAAGTTTTTGCAAAACCCTGAGTTTTTATAATTGTTGTAGATCGTCAAGTTTTCACTGTTTGTTTAGGTATATTTTCGGTAAATGACAACTTATTTGAAATATAAACATCATTTATAGCTCTCAGAACAAAAGGATCTTATTCTTTTCAAACTAAGCACTCAATTCTGATGTTTCCGTGTTTTGTTATTTGAAATATTTTGTAACATTTTACTAGCTTCTACATAACTTATACAGCCTTCTTACAGGCTCAATCAAACCGAGCCTGCAACATTTTCATTATTGCCGTTTTGAACTTTCTTTAGGGGTTCTTATTTTTTCTATTCTTTCTTATACATTAGATTCCGATTCAATTTAAACCGGGGCTTTTGTATTTACAACAAATTGTTATTATTGATCCATCATAGGACGATGTTTTGCTGATAAGAGTTCAAAAATTATGTTCAATGTCTTTTAATATTAATCTTTGATAAATTAAAATACTACCGTCCTTTATATAAATCCTATTTAAAGTCTTTGTTATGTAACGATGTAACGTCTTTTTTGCTTTGGCAGGTTGTTTTTTTAGTTTAGCTTAGCAAATAAAAATATTTATTTGCGTAACAAATGTTCATTTAAGCCTTGTAGAGGCTGTAAAAGGTCGCCCAATACATTCGATTAGGAATGTTATATTTTCGATCCTTGAAGATCGTTCAGCATGACATTATTATTGAGTTTGTGGTACTTCTAAATATTCCTACTTAAATAATGTTGAATCACCCGTACGATGTATGTTGCTGGCTTTTTAAATTTGTTTTTTGACGTCATATCTGTGATATGCAGGCTTCATAACTTCTGATCCCCTTTCAAAATTCCATTTTATTTAGTTCCGCTCCATTGTTTTCTCGTTTAGGGCACACTCATTCTTTTACTTGGGGACCATACACCGCTTTTCATGGAATGGCACGAATGTGTCACATCGAAGGTTCCAGGATAACCGCAATATGAACAAATCTGCGGATGTTTCTTAATTCTTAATTTTACCATTACCATGATTTAAATGTTGAATTCTGCTTAAGCCGGTGCTAGGGGGGCGTGGACGGTAACTTGCATTTTCCATTACCGTCCATGAACAGGCTCAATTAAACCGAGCCTGCAATATTTTCAATTTTGTCTTGTTGGGACTTTCTTCAGGGATTCTTTATTTTTCTCTATTTCATAATTAATGTAAATGCATTACTAACTTAATAGTTTTTTACTTGTCTCAAAATTATTGTACCTAATTGTACTTGATCTAGTCTTTTTAATTAACATAAGGTGTGTATCATGACATTTATTTATGATATTGTTAAACCTTAAAGATGGTTTTGTCCAAATGTATGAAGTTATTCCGTTTATAAAAACAGGGGGCCATTATTCCCGAAGCGCTTATCTGAGGACAAACTGTAGTGTATAACCAGTGAAAGTGTTTATAACAAGAGTTTGATCAGTGTTGGTCACTAATCAATACTTTATGCAAAATATTTTTTTAAATGGTATTTTGTTAATTGTCCTAATTTTATAGTTGTACATAAAAAACAAGGAAGTAAGTTACTTGACCCAATATTTAATATCAGATTTCAGTTCTAGACCTGAAACTATTCAAATTGTAAGATCTTATAGCTATTTATGTAAAAGCCAAAGTAGGTCAGTGAGGAAAAATCTTGGTAAAGGCCCGGTCACACAGCCCTCCACGGGCGTAGCGCGGCCGAATAACGGCAAAAAAATTCTGCCCGTGAAGCAGACGCTGTTGGACGCTTTGAGGTCGCGATAAATACGCGATACAGCCGTACTTTACCCGTCGTTACACGCGTTAAGAAATTCACACGCGGTTGGCCGCGCGAAAAAGTTTTGGGCTGCCCAAAAATTTAGACCGCGGGTAATCGCAGGCGGTACACGTGGTACACACGCGGTAAAGACGCGGTACAGACGCGGAACGAACGTGCTAGGACGTGCTACGGCCGCGGTTAAGACGTGGTTACACGCGGTAGGACGCGAAATTTAAGCGGGTAATCGCGGGCGGAGCACGGTCATAGCACGTTTGTTCCGCGTCTGCTCCGCGTTGTTATCACGTGCATTAGCGTGTGTACCAGGTGTAAGCATGGACAAACGCCTTTCTCCGCGTAAACAGCGCGCCCCAATACCGGCCTAATCACGTTCAATTGCGTCTTGTACGCGTTCCAAATACGATTGTCCACAGCCTTATCGCGTCCGTACAACGTCTGATTTTAGGAATATAAAAAGCGCGATTTGCCGAGCATTCGTCAGTTGTGCTCCAGACGTCAAGGGGTGAACATGGATCCCCGTCACCGTAATGACCTCGTCTTGCTGCTTCAGCAGCATCAGAACCAAGTGGTACAGGTCCATCAGCTCCTCATTGACAGAAAAAGACGAAGGAGGAGAAAGAGGGTGGTCCGGAACATCTGGGTACGCGACTGGATTGGCAGGAGACCTGAGCTGGGGCTGTAGATCGTCTCATGGTGGAGCTCCGTAATGAAGATCCAAGGGCCTTCCAAAACTTCATGAGAATGCCACCTGCTATGTTCGATGAAATTGTGCAGAGACTGACACCAGCCCTTACCAAGGAGACCACCAACTGGCGAGCACCCCTTGATCCAGGCCTGAAGGTTGCCCTTACCTTGAGGCACCTTGCTTCTGGCGCCAAGTATCGTGAGATGCAGTATGGCTGGAGGGTCCCTCACAACACCATCCGTCTGATGTTGCGCGAAGTGTGTGCGGCCATCGTCGAGGAGTTCCGTGATGAGCTGCTCGCGCCACCACAGACTGCTGCAGTGTGGCGACAGATTAGTGACAATTGGATGAACAGTTGGAACTTTCCGCATGTCATTGGTGCAATAGACGGCAAACACATTGCCTGTAAATCTCCTGCCAACACTGGGTCCGACTACTTCAACTACAAGGGCTTCTTCTTCTTGGCCGGGGAACTCGACGTGGGCTTCTTCTTCGGTGCCATATCTTGATCTTCATGGGACTGTGTCTTGAGCGGTTATGATTTCTACAGCCCGGTTCGGCTGCTTTATTATACCCGTGGAAGGCCGCGGTACCACCGCGCTTCACCCGCGATAAGGACGCGGAACAGTCGCCGGCGTCTGTTCCGCGGGCATACCACGGGTAAACCGCGGGTAAGCCAATTTTGCGCATTTTCCACCACGGGCAACCGCGGGCAAAAAAAATCGCGAAATTTTACCCGCGATACAGACGCGAAAGGCTGTGTGACCGGGCCTTAGGCTGATATCAAAATTCACTTTTACATTTGCAACTCTGTCCATAATCCAAATGTAATGTCAAAGGGCTATAAAGAAGGTCACTTCGTCAAAATTAAGGTCAACTGATATCCAAATTCAATTTTACGTATCAATCAAAAATTGTCAAAATTTCAAAGCTGAACACCAACGAACCACAAAGTAAGTCACTTCGTCAAAATCTACTTCAGTTGATATCTAAGTTGCACATCATTAATATGAATAAAATTTCCAAAATTCATAGCTGTAGGGAAAAAAGGAAAATTTCTCTTATTTGACCTGGATGGTCAAGTTCAGTTCAAGGCAAATGTCATATCTTAAGTATCCAATGTGTGTTTGGCCATATGCTTTGTCAAAGTATAAAATATGATAAGATCAACAAGGAAAGATGGCGTTCAATGAACGCAACCCCTACATGAACCAGCAAAAAGACTCAGTAGCAAGGAGCCCAGGCGGACCAAATCCGTACATACATAACACAATTAGGGTAATTTAAGCTGAATTCAATTATTTGACCTTAGCGGTTAAATGATTTAATGCTCAATGTCAATGTCGGTTTTATCTTTTAAATGGTCTTGTACGAAAAGCTGATTTGTTTGAAGATAACTCATTTATATATTACGTAGTCAATTCTAAAATGATAGTAAAAATACAATCATTCAACCTGTCAAATCATGTTCATAACGAACCGAGGTTAATGTTTGTTTGATATACATGAAGGTCGCATACTTCGTTACAGGCTCGCAGAAAAGGAAAATTATATTTGTTTTACCTCCAAGGTCAATTTCATTTATGAGTGAAGTTCACAATAAAGGGTTTGTCTGGTTTATTTGAATGTTTATTCTAAAAGACTGTTGTGTCAAGTCTAAAAACAATTCGTAAATAATATCTAAGATATAGATACTTATAGCAATGATCAAGCAAAATTCAGACGCTTGACAGTGAATGTCAATGTTATTTATGAGTGATGGTCACAATTAGTCAAGTGGACTTAAAGGTCCTGTCTCATGTGTTATTATGGCCAAGTATGATAGCAATACACTAAAAAGTTAAAAGAAAAATAATCAAAAATGTTAAAGTTTGCGGACGGCAACTGGTACAGGGACGCTGACATGACAATAACAGTAACTTTTTTTATTTCCTTTTTAAGTCAAGCTAAAATAACTTGTATCAAAATAAATTTGGATAAATTTGGGAAATTCAAAGTTGGGAAATTAAAAATATGGAAGTTTATTAAAAGACGAATATATTGAAAACGTGATGTCCGAATGTTCATTAAATATCAAAAAAGAGCTATCCACCTAAATGTATGTTTATTGTCAGAATTTAAAAGATCTAAAAGTGTCTATTTAGCAGAGTTTCTCTCTTCCTTTAAAATATCTGATATATTTATAATTAAAGTGTATTTTATGTAAAACGTCACCACAAATTTAAGCATATTTACGCCATGTATCATAATTTGAAGTATACACTGAATGCTTGCCGATATCTCAGTAGGAATGTAACCTTATTGTAAAGACTATTTTAATTCACCTACAGGTTTAAACATTAAATCAATAAATAAGTATTTCAAATAAACAGATTACATATTATTTTTTATTATTTTTAGTGTGGAGCTTATCATAGTATCTTACAAGCAATATAAACTTACATCTCTGGTGTCCAAAGGCTGAAACAAATAGATTGTATTGAACATTATTCATAGTTATGATGAAAACCGAAATTAAACTACGGTTATATTGATATTTTTATAATTTTGAAAATATTAAGTTAAACAAAATGTTAAATATATAAAATACATTTGGCCGAGATCTTCTTTCGACAGAGAATGTTTTAATCAAATAATCAATATACATTTTACATAAAATATTAAAGCCCTTATTAGAAAAGTCATACATCTTATAAAGAATTTGATATATTTCTATAACATATTTATATTTGTTTTAATCTGAAATACTAAACTTACTCTTTTTTTATTTGACTTAGTCTGAAACAAAAGAAAATAATCATCATTATTTATCATATGATAAACATAAAAGTTTTATCATATGTCATGCATTGTATATATGAATAAAAAAAAAACATTGTGACTATGACGGCACAAGATGGCCCTTCTGAAATTAACTGCTAGGAAATGTCCATGTTTTGTAATTCAGAAGTAAGGTTTTGAGTCACACTGAGGTAAGCCCATTTTGTCAACAGGGACAACATCCATGAAACCCAAACAGAGATTAATTTGGTCACACGCTTAATAATTACGCTCTGATATATCCTTTTTCACCAAAGATTATAAATGTGTTTTTCTATATAAGTTTATGTAAACTCAATGACCCCTAGGACAGGACCACTTAAAATAAGTGGTTTAAAAGTTGATTTAGAAAGAGATTTAATAAAATGCAGAAACTTTAAATGCATTTTTTTAAATATAAGCTATGTAAATTAAGGTACACCGGAAGCAGTAAGGAATACAAAACTATAAAAGAAAAATCAATGTTGATATAAATATGTTTCTTCTTTTGAAAAAAAGTTATTGTTGTTAACATAAATTCCAAGTTCAAGTGGGAAAAATTCTGGAAATAGTCACACTAGAGTTATTGACCTTTTCACACAACATGTGTATAATGATAAGAAATATATATTTGAAGTCTGAAGTAGATACCTTAAAAAGTAAAGAAGTTTTACAATATTTCTAAAGAAAGTTTCTTAGTTCAAAGTATGATAAATCTGAAAATATTGCTTCAAGAGTTATAAACCTTATATTTGAAGTATGAAATTGATCCCTTAAGTAATAAAGAAGTGATATGGGATTTTTTATCCTGGATGTTGGACTTTGAGATCGGGAAGATGATAACTTTTCCCAAATCAGAATGGACCATAACTTTGGAATAACAAATATTCAAAAGAATATAGAGATAAAAGACCGAAGCATCATTTCCAAGTACTTCATATGGAAAAGCATCTATCTCACTAGCCTTGTTATTCTTGCCCTGCTTAATAACAATCCAGACTTCTTAAATATCAATTCCCCTTTTAAATTCTAGTCATTTATTTTGTCCGGGAAGTGTATCATCTAGTTATAGATTTATGAGAAACAACTCCAACTCTTCTTATTATAGTCCAAATTAGACAGGAAATTTTTCAACCTCATCCAAAGGTGTCGCCCATGTTTAGAAATAATATACACGTTGCCGTAAAGAGTTACCAGACAACTAGATGGACGTAAGTTTTAAGAAGAATTCCTTACCAACGTCCAACGCCTGAGGAAAGTTTTACATGAAGCACACACGAATGCATATTTGGTACGAATCTGGACTTTTAGTGAAAAGTCATGTTTATTGCTAGTTATGTACATAACCAATACATTCGTCATATATATTTTGTGAAATAACTCATGCGTATGTGTCAATAAACTACACTTCAACAGTGTAATCCCTGAAAATGCATGTTTGTACAAAACAGGATAAATATAACAAAGTTAAGAGGAATTGTTATTCTAGTGAAGTACTCTCGCTTTTATACTTATCTGTTTATATGTAAAGTTCCATTGGCAACTTCTATATGTGAACAAGGGAAATTCAGATCATGTTAAGTTTTGACCTCTAAGGGTTACCCTGGCCTTAGTAGTTTGGGCCTAGGTAATACTTAGGACACGTCGTCTTATGATGCTGGACAATTTGTCACGTTATTTTAAAATCCAATCATAGATAACACAGATAGGGACCGATATGCAATAAATAGATAAAGTACTTTTTTTTAATTCGATAACTACTGATGACGAACATAAAAAGTCGGTTAACAAGCTATGCGCATATGCCAAGAGAGATTAAAAAATAATTATAAAAAACAAATACTTATGTAATTACCTACCAAGTTTAATTATTTACATTTAATTCTGTTTTAAGCTCTTAAAAAGGATGTCTCGTATATCTTATAGCTTAATTATGTTATTTCCCAACAGCATCCGGTAACAGTAGCGTTTATTACTTACGTATTAATCTGACTAATCTCAGGTGAATTACAATTGTAATCATTTAAAGAAAACAAAGAGATTAATTGTTAGATTTCATATCTTTAACATCAGAGAAAATTTAGTGGAGACATTTTAAGCATCATTTTATGTATGTTTACTCACTCCTTATTGCATAAACTTTCTTGCTCTTCTTGAAAACCAGTAGAGGTCATATTGCGATTTTCCAGCTTTTCTGGTGCAGGAAGACTTAAATAGCTTTTTCCGTGCTTAATTTAAGGCACAAACACTCACCTAAGAAGAACCACCCTGGCCTGTTTAGAACACAGAGCGCAATGGGCTCAGTGCTTTTAACTCAACGATATTAACCACCCGGAAACCCTATTCTATTCTAAAAACAACGTGCATGGCCATGTTTGATGATGAAAACATTAATAATGTTGCAAAAATGCATATGCAATTTCATTCATTGTTGTTTCGATCTTATTCATCTAACACTAAAAATAATTCATTACCATCAAAATATACAGAACATATTTATAGAAGAATGCATAATTCTACAAGCAATTAAGGAAACTTATTTTAAACTTTACTTTTAACATCAAATTAAGTATCAAATAAAGAAAAAAGTCACCCACCAGCAAAACTCCCATTAAAATATAAAATACATACATTCCATAGTCTTTCTTTTTTTGTCTGAAAAAAAAATCAGACGTCTCTTCTTATAAACAAAAAAAAACCAATGCCTTCTTTAACCCATCAATATTGTACTAAACTTACATTCTTTACATGTAAAACCATAAAACTCATAATAATATTAAAGGATGATCAGTATATCTAAGATCTAACTTATCTGCTTTATCTATTCCTTGTAAGCAAAGGTATCGAAATCAAAAGCAATAAATATGTATATAAAATCATCAGACAATACTTTGTTCTTATTTTGCGCATAATTGTATCAGTGTCTTAAAATTAGTATCTGAAATACTTACATTTCCTTTGGACGGAGTCTGAAAGAAACACATTATATGAAACATTATTCGTCATTTTTATAAAAAGCAATGTTAAACTATCTGTAAGTGAGCGAAAAAAGAAAAGTAAACAAGTATACAGTTAATTAAATTCTCGTATATATAAAGCATATACAGTCGTGGCTTTCTTTCGAGTAAGAATATTTTTAATCAATGAAAAGATATTTTTATCTGCATTTATGTTCTTTTTTTAAATATTCGTACATATAAATTAAAACAAGGTAACGCGCCTACCTTCGCATATCTTATTAAATTATACTCTGTTTCTTAACAACTACATGTTTTAAGTGATCAAAATATATTCATTTAGATATAACATGGACTAGGAGAATGTTTTTTTCTTTATAGTATTAAATTTTGAAAAAAATATTTAAGCACTTTCTCAGTAAAGTCATACATCTGATAAACAATTTGATACAATTCTATTGTTTAACACATATTTGTATCAATCTGAAGAAATTTCAACTATACTTACTCATTCTTCATTTTATAAAGTCTGAAACAAAATATATATAATAATCATTATTTAACATATGGTGAACAAAAAGTTTGCTTCTATAACTTTCAGAACTATTAATAAAACTGTTCAGTGACTATGACGGCTTCAGATGGCTCATCTGATCTTTACTGCTAGGAAATGTCAAGGTTATTTTATTCAAAACTAAGGTTTTGCTTCACATTTGGTTGGGTCCATTTTGTTCGAATTTATAAATAATTTCATTCTTATTGCCAAAATTGTATTAAAAATGAGAAGTACCTTAAAAATTGTCCGTGACCCAATGTCACGTGAAAATGACATGGGTTACATATACTATACAGATGTACGCTGATTTAGTTATCGCCCGTTCATTTCGTTACGCATTTTGTAACTCGTTTGTAATCATCGACGACTCGTAATTTTGCAAACAATTTTGACATTCACTTGAGTCCACTTTATAAAAATGTCCATTATGTTTACTCTTCTTTTAATTAATTCATTTTGAAACAAAAAAAATGCATCATACAGTAAACAAACATATTCTAGGTCTATTAAAAATTGTTCTGTGTTTTATGATTATTATATTGTTCAAAAATGATATCATGAAGTACTATTTTGTTTCATATTCGCGTTGGCCCATTTTGTCAAAAGGGAAACATTTCATGAAACTGTAGAACAAATAAATTTAGCAATACTACACGGTTAATATTTATGCCCTGATCCATCTATTTTCACACACAAGACGACTCAAATGTGTTTTCCTAAGTAAGTCCATGTATAATCAATGTGTGAGACTAACAAAGGATTGGAGCACCAAACTAAATACCGCATTCCGGTATATACCAGACTAGCAGCTGGAATGATAAAATGCTTAAATTATGCCCTTTTACATAACGGAATGCACTTTAAAATGTCTAATTCATCTTTTCACACCGATTTATGTATGATTATGAATACAAAAAGTAATAATCGGCGAAAGAAACGATATTTCTTTATTTAGAAGAATCTTAAGTCCACTGTACAACACACAAACACACACACGCATTCGCTCGCACACACGTACACTTGTATTGACCTAAAAAACGGCATAAGACTTTTAACACTTAATTGAGGACACTTCTTTCTAAATGCTTTTCTTGCAAAATAACTGCCCTCAAGTCATAAATATATTGTTTATACGATACTTATATCTTTTAGTCAAAGATACTGTTGTCACAAAAAAGTTTGGAAAAGGACACTATTGAACACCCACTTCAACTGGCATGTCTTCTGTGGAACGTGAACTGAGGACGCAGCACACACACTGGCTTTTGAGGACAGACTGGCAAATACATCAATTAAGGACATTCTTATGTGGACATTGTGAACCATCTCGCAAGCTTTGAGGACATTATAGTACCATGATTTCAAAATAGAAATCGTCTCATGCTGAAGAAAAGTATTTCGGAAAAAGGGATATTGATACTTTACGATTAGGTATATAAGATTAATGAGCTAGGCATATGATACAAACAAACTACATCTAGTATTTTTCTCCACAACTGATTGATGGAAGGGTTATCTTATCGACCGGAAATTATTGCTTACATATTCAAAATTTCAAAAGTTAACTGTCTACCTCATAACACAGACCAAGTCACTTCTATAATGTACATATATAATGGTAAGATTAATAAGAAGAATAAGTATTTTGAATGTATTGATTTACTGTTAACAAGAGCATTTAAGAGGTTGTTTTCTCTTTAAATGAAAATATTATCTTACAAACTTGCACATTAATTTAGAGTTGTTTTCTTTTAGCATGTTATTTAAGTTTTGCCAATGTTGATTATATTTCAACCCAAACCCTTGGCCTTCCTTGTTTACTGTGTTGATTTTTACTTCAATACAAAAGTGATCAATGATTACATGTGTCGCCTCATGGTAGCCATAACTCATTTAACCTTATAAATTGTGACGTATGCACAAATTCTTGAGCATGCGATCAATCCTGTAAAGTTTCATTGAAATTGCATCAGTGGTATACGATGTGATGTCCGGACAAATTCTAAAAATTAGAATCATTAAAGGGTCATAACTCTGACAAAAATCGATCACAAATGTTGTGAAGACAAGTAGACATGTTATTCGTCATTCCTGTATTTTTTATAACAATGCACCGGTAGTTTCTTAGGAGTAGTCCAGACAAGCTTCCGTATAGAAAGAATACCTTTCTTGTTCAAGGGCCATGACTACTCCAAAATTTATTCAAGCAGAAAACCTTTGTATTATGCGCAAACACTTGAGCTACCAATATATACAGTAAAGAAACATTGAAATTGGATAAGCGGTATAAGAAAAGTAATCCGGGCAAAATTTATAAACACCCTTTTTATTAAAAGACCATAACACTGAACAAATCATTCAAACAAAACAAAACGTGTAATATGCGAAAATACTTGATCTAACAAACAATCCTGTCAAGTTTTATTGCAATTGCTTAGTGGTATAAGAGAAATAGTCCCGACAAACTTTAAAAAATGAGTAATCAAAGGACCATAACTCCGACAAAACGAATTGAACCATAAAAAACCGCTGCTATGCACAACTAGACTTAGTAACTATGAAAAAATCACTGAACCAGAAAATGCCGACGATATCCACAACTAGACTTGGTATTCATCCTTCCTGTAAAATTTGGATGAAATTGCACATGTAGTTTTTTAGAAGTAGTCCGAACAAGTTTTGTGGCGGACTGACAGACAGACAGAGAAGTGATCCCTATATGTCGCCACTACTCTGATACTCTATAGAGGCGACAAAAAGAAACAAATGCGCACTTTTTAACTTATGCAGCTTCTATTGATATATGTTTCTAGATAAAAATACATAAAGATTTAAGCTAGAAAATAATCAGGCAAAACAATACGAAATCGCAATACAAATTTTAATGTTAAATAAAAGTACATGATGCTTTGATATCACATCATCAAGTCATTTGATCATTACTTTAATTACTTAACACCAAAGTTTGGTTACAAACGTGACCTCATTAACAGCAATCTAAATTTGATCGAAATGTTTCATTTCAAAATACAAATGGTCATTGTACAATTTTATGCAAACATATAACAATCATGAGAGTAACTATCAAGAAAATGGACTTGAAGTAGGTAAATCTTGGAAAACTGTTATGTCAGTACTTTTATGAAATCACTAATAATGTCCAGCAATTATGAAAAAATAAAAATCATAGCTCTGCGAAGCACATTGAAAGTCCTCTCAAATAGTTCATCGTGTCCATTTAAAGTCGAGATGTATACGCCTAAAATTTTTGAAAGTTCCTAAAGATTTTGTAGTGTTTTGCATCAAAGCACGTAATAAGATTATGTTGTCCTAAAACACACCAAAATAGAAGTATATATCTTACACTTAATAACCTATTTTTAGAAACGACACAACATCCTGTATAATAAGAAAATCGCTGAAGGCAATGAATGCTTCACAAAATTTCACATTTATAAACATGTTTAATTCATATTAGTCAATAAGGTCTGCAATCTAAATATTTTTGTCCGCATCAGTGATCCCTAGCTTTACCTAAATTTAGAAAACAACGAATATTATCTATCTACATAATATGAAAGCATCCGTCAGTAGACAAAGAATGTATAAGACGAAGTGTTAAATCCCTTTTCCTCCAGTTATATGACCAACCAAGATATGTACCTACTTAATGAGAGAGACAACAGTTATGAAACAAAAGAATAGGTCACCGGTTACCGCTGGCTTGCAACCAATTGTCCCAAAACTCCATCGGAAGATAGAATGCCATCAAAGGTATGTTCATCCCAATACGAAATACATCAGTAAATAATATAGGCTATAGCTGACAAACGATGTTTCAAATATTGGTATTATATTTTCAGTTCATGTTTTATTTAAATCAGAACAAATGATAAACTTCCATTATATAAAAAAATAAACAGTGTCTGTCTGTAAAAGCCTTTATGGAAACGACTACAAGGTAATCTGTAGTAATTCAAAGGAACTCATTTGAACAATTGATTAATGTTGCACGAACAACGGGCAGCTATAGTTAAAATAACATTCACATGAATATATCAAGTAAAACAAGTAATACCTGCTTTCATAGTCCAGTTTTTGATTTTCTTTCTCTGTTTTCAGTTCTTTGATGAAATGCTCTTTCTAAAAAAATGTATAATGATTCTTTAGATAACATTGTTGATAACAACTGAAACGTGTGATGCCAAACTAAAAATGCAAGTTATAGAATGAATTAGGCAGATGTTAAACCACGTTGCCATCAAAGCAGTTTTGAAGAAAATATGTCAGATTGTTAAATAACTATTGTTGGTATAGGGATAGGTCTGCATTGGTGTTTTTTTTTTCAAATTTTTATGAAATAATGTTCTAATTTTGACTTCAAATTAATAGGCATACATATGTACATGGGGCATCCGTGGCCGAGTGATTGAGGTCGTTGGCTTCAAACGACTTGCCTCTCACCGCTGTAGGTTCAAATCCTGACAGGGACTTAAGATTCTTTCATGTGAGGAAGCTATCCAGCTAGCTTACGGAACATCGGTGGTTCTACTCAGGTGCCCGTTCGTGCCTGAAATAATGCACGGAATGACACCTGAGGTCTTCCTCCATCAGTAAAGCTGGAATGTCGCCAAATGACCTATACTGTGTCGGTGTGACGTAAAACCCAAAACAAACAAAACAAAAAAAACATATGTACTTTTTCAGACGTAGCATCGTTAATTTACATGTCTCATCCACGACTGTAAGACAGGCAAAGGAAAGATAAATTAGGTTTTTAAACATTGGCTTTTAAGATATTGGCCACCCTTCGAACAATTATACCGACAAATCGGTATTATTTTATTACATTAAAATAAAATAGCTTTTAATATTTTAAATACAATGACTTAATAAAATCTTGACTAAAGCTGAATATATTCAACCTGTTTGGCATGTTCTAACTCTTGTATAATAAACATATGTGTTTTGTTTTTAATACTTCATTTTAACACTTTTTTAACACTTTGCCAGATCCTTGTAGCCATTATCTACCAAGTATCCCTCACAACAGCACAACACAAAATCAAATAAAGTACAAACACGTGCATGCCCTATCCATTACTTTACAAAAATGACACTCAAATGATAGAACTTACCTTTTGTACACGTGACTGTAACTCAGTTACAGTTTTATTTAGACCTTCAACTATTGCATTCGTCCTACCAAGTGTATTCTTCGGTTCTTTGTTTTCATAGGGTATCATTTGGTGCTCTTTCTTGTTTTTCACCGACCCGACAGAAACTAATGACATAATTATCTAATTCAGTATTCATAAAGACCTGTGTATACGTGTTATGTCAAAAACACTAAAATTTTATGCAAAACTTTAATCAATAAATAAGAAACGCTTAGCTTAAAACTCGTTCTGGTTTAAATTGATGTTAATATAATTTAAAACAAAGGTGATTTCCATTTATTCTTAATCGGCAAGATTCGTACATACAGTACAACGGGGATTGACATTGTGTTACAAATTCTAAAGCATATTCGTTTTAAAAAAAATGTCCAAATTCCCCTTTTTTAAATAATGCTGATAAAACAAAACAGATTACGATTTTTAACCTACTTTTTATCAGTTATTTGAAACCTTAAACCTTAATAATATCTGTACAGACCCAATCAACCGGGTCTGCAGTGTTCATGTTATTTTGCTGATTATGATGCTTCCAAGGGATTACATTTCCAGATATTTATATATGATACAAGAAAAGCAGCAGTATAAGATATCACTACGGGATCAGTTTCAATCATATAAAACTTTAAACATTTGACGGTGATATCAATTAGAACTAATCTTACTGCCTATTTTCTTTCTTTTATAATTATTATATTTATGCAATTTGAATATATGTATCAAATTACCCATTAGTGTTTCATGTTGCATGAACGACAATTAGAACAAAGAAATGAAATAAAAAGATATCGGTGACATAAACGATCTTTATCTGTATAATATATTACCACAAATGTAGAGGTAATTGATTAAGTACGTGGGTAGTTGTGTAATGTAAATTATAAATCCCTTGTTATTACAATAAATAAATGAATCACAAACATAGACAGGTCCTGTTTTGTTTAAGATATAGGCTGTCGTAAAATTCCATATGGGGCGCCCATGGCCTAACGGTTAAGGTCGTTGACTTCAAACCGCTGTTGGTTCGAATCCCGATAGGGACTTTGGATTATTTTATGAGAGAAAACTATCCAGCTAGCTTACGGAACGTCAATGGTTCTACTCAGGTGCCCGTTCGTGCCTGCACTTACTCACGGAAAGGCACCTCAGGTCTTCCTGCACCAGTAAAGCTGAAACGTCGCGATATGGCGTATAAAGTGTCGGTGTAACTTAAAACCCAAACAGACAAACAAATTCCTATTGTAATACACTTATCTTATAATTTGAATAGGACGGTTAAAAGACATAAAATGATTTACTTATAAACACGTTTGCTGGGTCATATAATAGGATATTTTAAACATTTTGAAAGAAGCAAAGTATTTACCAATTTATACTTTTTGTAAAGTACAACTCGAGTAATTGGCAGAAAGGACAGAGGCAAAAAACAATTGTTTATATATGCATTGACGACCTTATGATTTAATTTGTTCGTTAAATACTTATTTTTCTTACTTTCTGTTATCTGATCTGACTCTTCAGTTAACCAACACCCTAACTCTCGGATATGTTCTTTCAATTCCGCGACATCTAAAGTTGGCTCGTATCTACCTGGTTTTTCCTTTCCTTTTTTTGAAAGTTCTATCATGTCCATTGTCATCTTTTCTATTGCTGTTTGTGTGTTTTTCATGAAAATATAAGCTTCACAGAATTGTTGACCTTGTTCTAAAGTGTTTAGTCTCCCTTTCCGATTTGTCAGATCTGTTTGCATATCAATGACTGCTTCCAACAAATCTTTGAATAATTTATCATTTTCGTTCTGTTTTCTAACTATTTCCGTTTTGATTTTATGATAAAGATTTTCAAAGAAGGTGACAATCTGATCTTTTTGTCGATCAAGATCCGTACAGGCTGTTTTGTTCATTTCATCGGACATTTGACTGTTTTGACAAATCTTGTCATACAATTTTTGTTGCTCTTCGTACTTATTATCTATCATTTTCGCAAATTCTTGTATTTCTACAGATGTATCAGATTTCTTCACTTCGTCCGGGATGTACCTGACACCATCACATGATCGATGGTCTATCGTCATGCAAACGTTACATCCGATCTTGTCACAGGTCTTACAAATATATTTTGTAACTTCATCCGCGTGAACTTGACACTTTGATGTACAGACATATTTCGATACAGTATGTTTTGGATCCAAAGGCATGCTGTTTTTATCTTGAAGAACATGGTGTCCAAATTGTTTATAACGCCTATGATGATTATAACACTGTCCGCATAAGTATTCAGAACAGTCAACACAGAACCCTTCTGCTGTTGTTTTTTGTTGAGCCTTTCCACAAGGTTCACAAAATATGTCTCGCAATTCATCAGAACTTGAAATAATAGATCTCGAACATGCCATTGTTCAAACGAAAAAACACACTATTTTTCGTATCGGTCTCACCGGTTTTATTTGAAAACTATACTTATGATTTAATAAAACCTGCTTGTTAACTATGTTACATTTGCTTACAAATATCAGATATACGATACATTATAACCATTCAGTTAAACACAATATCCGTATTGTTTCTAATAGTAATATATATTAATGCCGCTCTGTTAAATGTTTAAACTACGGTGATCTGGTTCATTCATAACAACGAAATAACATTTTTCTAAAAATACACACGTTTCAAAACCGATATTATTGATCAAATCTTAAATTGCTTAACTGCAACGTCAGGTTATATTCGGCACATGTAGTACAAATAAACATTCAATGGTATATTCATTAATATATGTCAAGTATTGAATTTCATATTTTGAATTATAATGCCTATTTGTTTATGATACACTCTTAAATAAAACTGCATTGGTCTATGAGAAGCTGACTTTGAGAATATAACATTATATAAACAGATTAATCCGAGATATTCCTGTGAACATAAAAACTTTGGTTTTATTAAAATTACGTTTTTATTCAACGGTTAATTTAAATTGTTGTTATCTTGTATATGTTCATTGCATCTCACAAAATGGCATTAACAGGCAAAACAAATCCTAATTTAGCGATTGTGTTTAAGGTCACTTGAGATGCTATGGTTAGTTGATGATTTTGTAGATACTGTGCCCTATTTTGTCCGCATAATTTCGCTAGTAACATGCGATAATTATCGCATCAAAAGGGCAAAATTGAGAATTAATTCTAAAAACAAGAATGGCAAAATATATTTTAAATTCAATGTTGTACAAAAAAGCCTAATGCTTTGTCATATGTCTGTCTTAAAATGCCCCTCAACATGAACCATGTTAATCCATTATTAATTGTACGATATATAAAATTAATTTATAATTGAAGATCATATACCAGAGTTGATGCATATATTTGAGAAAGGGAAAAAACTAAGAACTTAATAAATTTAGTATATTAGGTAAAACGCAGAGGAGTAAGTGTTGTTGCTGTTGTTGTTATGTATACATGTTATGTGGTATTTTTAGTTTCTTCTATTTGGCATTTTTATCTTGAGTGGTTCCAGTATTCCTACTTGAATACTGTATAATCACCCTTATGATATAATCACCCTTATGATATGTTGCCTGCTTTTTAAATTTGTCTTTTGACTTATTGTCTGAAATATGTAGGCTTTATAACCTTAGATCCCCTTTCATTCAAAATTTCATTTTATTTAGTTCCGCCAATTGTTTTCCCGTTTAGGGCACACGCAATCTTTTACTTGGGGACCATACGCCGCTCTTCGTGGAATGACTGTGTCACATTGAAGGTTCCATGAAAACCGCCGTATGAACACATCTGCGGATGTTCTAAATTCCAAATTTTACCATTTTCGTGTTTAAATATTGAATTCTGCTTAAGCCGGTGCTAGGGGGCACGGACGGTAATTGTTACTTTCCAGTACCGTCCATGAACAGGCTAAATAAAATCGAGCCTGCAACATTGTAAATTTTGCCGTGTTGGGCTTTCTTTAGGAACTATGTATTTCGATATTTTATAATTTCTTTTAAATATTTAAGGTCTCAGAACATTCAAATGAATAAAGCGAGATAAAAGATAATAAATTATAATAAAAATTATTAATATAATAAGGAATTAAAAGCTCGAAACATCTACACGAGGGGAGGCCATAATATTTGATTAAAATGTGTTTTGTTTTTTTTAATTGGTGTTGTCATGATAAAAGTTTTGTTTAATAGTTATAATGTTGTTGTAACAGCATTGCCTTTTAAATGTTTTGTTGTTTAATACCATTTTATAGACAAACGCTATTGAATATACATGTAACTAAAAAATTTAATATATTTAACTATAACAGTATATGAAACAAAAAGGGCCATCTGGACCCTTAATCGCCCAACTGCTATCCAATATAGCATAATTGTTCAATGTGAAAGGTTATGGGGTCACACTTGGCAATCCATTTTTGCCCTGCAAGAAAACCCGTTTAAACTTTGAAGAAGTCCAGCAGGCAATGACACAAATAGACATTGGTATAATCAAAAAATCATTAAAGATTTATATGTCATTTTCATATGTATAAAGTATGACTCAAGTACAGGTCATTCTTGGCCCATTGAGAATATCCACTAGGCTATGCTGCTTTTTAAGATACGGATATTGTAGTTTTAGACAAGGAGGCTTAAGTACAATGTATCTCCCCATATAAGTATATACACCAAGTGACTGCTCAGAATCTATATGTTCTTTAATAAACATATGTAAATGTGAAATCTTCTATGATATTAATGTTAAGCGGATGTTAGGCTTCTAAAAATGTGTGATTACTATTTTATTTGAGTCGAATTTTATATATGATCAATGACACAAAGGTAGATAATTCTGCAGTTGCTTTTATTCGCTGTTGAGTTGTCCCCCTTTAATCGTTTCTGTTTTGCAAAGTCTTATAATTCTATACCGAATGACTGTTCATGTCTGTTGTATTTTATGTCTGTGTAGAATATATGTGAACATGAGCTTAGGCTATGATAAATATAAAATATGAATATGCTGACTCTTGAATACTAAAAGTATATCAACTTTCATCAATTACTGAGAATTAAATATGAAATATATAAAATATAACACGAATGTGATATCAAAAATATGATATAGGGGAAACAAGCAGGATTATTTTTTCTCACTAACCAGATAGAAAAATCCGTAAATGTTATTAAAAATAGCGGTGTTTAAAATCTTATCTCACATGGGCTTATCTCACACTTAACGTACGTTCGCCTTCTAAAAACGTATTCCTACACATACGCGATTCACTCCTATTTTTAATAAAAATGAAACGTCAAAAGGTTAAAATGTATTAAAAATATGTGAGCTAATCTATTTAATTGTCCACGGAATCAAAAAAGATTGATATTAACTTTCACACTGCAATGAGTCCTACTCTACCTAGTTCCGCCCTTTTCAATATCAATCTGTTACTAAAAATAGCACACTTTAAAATATCGCAAAATTCGTCGTAACATCGGATATTATGACACTTTTCCTGAAGAACACCGATGTTTTCTGTTATGATAACGATGCTTCTTGATAACGAATCTCATTGTGATATATTTTAATTGTTTCGGCCAAAATAACCGAATAAGTAGAAAAATCTTTGCAAACGGTAAACGCGTTTTGGCAACCATTTAAGTATGGACTTAATTCCTTATAAACACTTATATTATGACATTTTCCGACTATAATATTGATGTGTTTTATCAGGATAACCTTGCTTTTTTATGAGGGATCTCATATGAATTTATTTTCATTGAATTTTTCACACATAAACTTGGTCAGTAGAATTTTTGCGTACGTAAGGCGCCTAAGCCCCGCCCCGCTTTTCAAAACAAGGGCGTAGCAGGTAGATCTAGTTTCACTGATATTTATTGTGTTCAGGTGAGAAAGAAAAATAATCAATCATTGGGTTATAAGAGGATAGGGAAATCCCAACCGTCGGGCAATCGGTTCAATCGGGAACTCGCCAAGGCTCGTTTCCGATAGAACCGATCACCCTCGGGTTGGGATTTCCCTATCCTCTATCTAACACAATGATAGATTCTATTAATCAAGGTTTAATGTTTTATGTAATATCTTCATATGTTATCACTAGTCTAGCAAGTCAATTTTTCAGGCAACATTAAGATAACCTAATTGGTGGTGATAATGTTATATCAAAACTATATACTATTGACAAGTAAAGTTATAATTACTGATCATGCGACACACGAGCAATGACTTAATCGGCGATCTCATGGTTAAATAGTTATCAGATAAAAACTTTTCTGCAGGCGTTTTAAATTGTGACGAATTATCATTTATTAAAACCGTTAACTTAATGAGAGGACTTAATGGATTAAATGAAAGGTTCGTATAACTTGTTTTAAGCCCCTCCCCCACAAATAAGGGAGGTGTATATAGTTTTTGCAGCGTCCCTCTGTCCGTTATCCGTTCTTACGTTTGCATTCACTTTGTGCCAGGTCCATAACTTTGTCTTGAATAATTGTGTTAAAATGCGGTTATATCAACGAAAATGTGTAGAGCCTCTTTAACAAATATGATATTTGTTAATTTACAGGGTTCTGATGAGGAATTTATAAAGATAAATATCAAATGTCTAAAATTACTCGTCTGAACCCCTGGGGCTAGTGGGCGTGGGGGATGTTTCACGTTTACACTATCCCTTATAGACATACACTCAGTACCGCCTCCGTGGTCGAAGGATTAGAGTCGATGACTTCTAATTCACTTACCTCTCTAGCGTGGGTTCGATACCCGGGAGATGCTTTAGTAGTTTAGCACGGAGGAAGGTAGTCTAGTACTGGTGAAACTCTCCAGGAACGATGGTTAGGAAACAACCCGCCTATATGACTGAACTACTACGTAAAATGAAACAATCAAATTGAGTCTGCAATTTTCATGTTATTTTGTTTTCATTGACCTTTTCGAAAACCTAACTAAACACCGTTTTCAGGTATGTTACGGATTTAGCGCTGGGGAATTACACCAAATGAGGTACATAACACTATTACATGAAATTTCTATTTTCTATCATTATTTTGCCGTTTAAGGTAAAAAAAAGCTTGATTCGTTTGAATAATATCAATGTTCTTTAATAATATTTAGGTATAGATGGTTACCAAAAATAAGCTATTTTCGTGAAAATAAGATCGCGGCTTCGAAAACAAGAATTATTTTTGAAATAGTGCTTTTATCTGTTTAAATAATGATGTTAGTTATATACTTTAACTTATGCATTCTTTAAATGATTTTACAGCAAATTAAGTTTTCAGAACCAAAAACATCTAAAAAAAAAACGAAGTTTGAGCCGAAAATTGCTACGTACGAAAATAACTCAAATCGCCATGTTAAGCGAAAATAAGATCAGGTCTACGAAAATAAGATTTGTTTTTGATATAATGTATTAAAAAAAACGTATTTTTGTTTGCAATTAAATGATTTGCATGAATGAAATAGTAAAAAATGAAATGTTTTGTAATGAAATATTCGACGTTTGTTCGGTAAATATGGTAAATATCCCAAATAGTATAGAAAGAACACATGCGAAAATAACCAAGATGGCGACTACGAAAAAAATGATTTGTAAGCATGGTTCAAAACTTATATTATCACATAAACCGCGGTATGTAGGTATTAATTATTTACTAAATAAGAAATTTACTTTCGTATATATCATATATTTTATTTTTGTATGAACATTATTTTCATACAGCTTTTATTTCCTTACAGCTCTTATTTTCGTAGAGTACTGTATAGATTTTATTTTCGTACGTACATATTCTTATATAGATCAAGATTTTATTTCGTAGTCGTTGTATCTGGTTATTTTTTCTTTTATTTTGATACTTTTTCATCACAATTTACATTTCTTGTCTGATAAGAAAACATTTAATTCTTAAATCATATTTGAAAAATCATTAAAAAATTCAATATAAGTTATGAACCATGTAAATCTTATTTTTGTAGTCGCCATCTTGGTTATTTTCGCATGTGTTCATTCTATACTATTTGGCATATTTACCATATTTGCCGCACAAACGTTTGCTATTTCATTACAAAACATTTCATTCTTTATCATTACATTCATACAAATCATTTATTAACAACAAAAATACGTTTTTAATTTAAGAAATAAAACGGCGGGGGCGCGGAGCGAAAACACTCTAATTAGCGCCCCGCTAATAAGCGTATTCTCGCTCCGCGCCCCCGCCATTTTTACTTGTTTATTTTGCGGGGTCGCGGGACGAAAACACGCTTATTAGCGGGGCCACACAGCGAAATTTTTTAATTAAACTTCGCCCCGCGCCCCCGCTAATAAGCGTGTTTTCGTTCCGCGACCCCGCCGTTTTATTTCTTAAATCTCCCCGCGGGGCGAAGTTTTATTTACTTAACTTCGCCCCGCACCCTCGCTAATAAGCGTGTTTTCGCTCCGCGCCCGCCATTTTAACTTGTTTATTCTCCACTTTTCGCTTGGCGGGGTCGCGGGACGAAACACGCTTATAAGCGGGGGCGCGCAGCGAAGTTTTTCTTATTAAACTTCCTTGCTAATTAGCGTGTTTTCGCTCTGTGTCCCCGCCATTTTAACTTGTAAATTCTCGACTTTTCGCATGGCGGGATCGCGGGACAGAAACACGCTAATTAGCGTTGGCGCGCGGCGAAGTATCATTTATTTAACTTAGCCCGCGCCCGCGCTTATTAGCGTGATTTTCGTCCCGCGACCCCGCCGTTTTATTTCTTAAATCTAGCTCCGCGTTCCCGCGGGACGAAGTTTTATTTATTAAACTCTGCCCGCACCATCGCTAATAAGCGTGTTTTCGCTACGCGCCCCCGCCATTTTAACTTGTAAATTCTCGACTTTTCGCTTGGAGGGGTCGCGGGCGAAAAACACGAATGGCACAAATCAGCCACCATAGAGAACAAACTATAACTTCGCTTTTAATCGAATTTGTTTGACAAAATATTTATATAATAAAAAGAAAGAACATCACAGTATATATAATCAAAACAGCATCATAATACTATTGAAGATTTCTAGAGTTATCATTTCGTGTGATGTTTGCCTTTTTTAAATAATACCATACGTTTGTAAGTACTTTATTGCAGTAATTCTATAAATGTTGCCATACTAGGCCGACTGTATAAATAACGCTTAATATATTGGCTGCGTAGATTTTCATAAGCACTGCATTTTAAAACAAAATGATACTCGTCTTCGAGCTCATTAGCATCACAGAATTGAGAAGTTCTTTCGTGTTAATTTAATTCCATATTGAAGAAGTATTATTTATTATTTACTTATAAATGAAATATTGAGAAATATTGATAAAATAAAATTCGTATTTTCATTTTCCGTATTTTCACTGTAAAAATTTATTTTTCACTGCAGTGAAACATATTTTCCGTATTTTCACATGTGTCTTGCCGGACTACTTTCTTTTAAATTCTGCCAGTACACAAAATTTAAGGAAAAGTCTTTCAAATTTTAATGTCAAAAAAAGAAAAGAAAAATGTATATAATAAACAGAAAATTTAAGTTTTTTCTATCAATACATGATTTATTTATCTTGTGGCATGAAAATTACCATATTTCACTCGTGGCTACCGCCACTCATGAAATATTTATTTTTCATACCACTCGATGAAAATAAATCATGTATTTATAGAAAAAACTTAAATATCCTCTATGTATTAATCTCTCGGTTATAATATCAAATATATATAATTTATTATAAAAAGTGGTCGGATGAGAAAGCGAAAAATTGTCAAAGTCAAAGTCAAAATATCTTTATTTTTCATCAGTTCACAAAAAGTGACAACATGATACATTCTAGAAATTATGAAAATATTAAATTCGGGTAAAAAATAGGACAAAATAGGCTAGCAAAGATCGCATTTTAGAAAAGTGAGGATCCTTTCATGAAGAAAGGGAAAAGTTGATTTAAAGTTTCTTCTTTTGTATATAATTTCAGGCTACGAGAAAGTGTGAGAAAATTATTATATTCAAATATGACAAATTGATTCAAAAAAGATAAAATAAAAAATAAAAACTTATAGGCGGAGAAAAATTGATTGAAACGAAATCAATGTGCACCGAACGGTTTTTATTATTATCTCAATTTGTCTTGTAATGTCGATTAGGTTTTTTAATGAAGCGTTACGTAAGGCAACGCTTTACAGACCAATGCGCGTGTGGTCTGTGACCTATATCCGCGTGGCATATACCCAGTCTGAACACAAAAGAGCCGCGTCACGACAAAACCAACACAATGGGCCAGCGACCAGCGTGGATCCAGACAGCCGGTCCGGATCCACGCCGACCGACAACGAAGTAGGGTGATTTGTTTTTCTCATTCGAAACGTCTGGCCTATTTTCAGCAACTGACATGGACTTATTTTACTTTTTCCTATTTAAGGAACAACAAAGTGTTATCATAATATAGCTATTCAAATTTCAGCAAGCGTTATGTGTAATTGTATTATATCATTTAATAATGCTTTTATCAAATTGTACAAGGATGACCTCGATCATATCACTATTTACATACTCGAGTGTACTATATATTTTATCAATTTATAAATGATGATACGGTGGCTCTTAAAATAGTGAAAAATTGAATCCAAAACGAGAAAATTGAAAATGTTACAGGCTCAGTTTGATTGAGTTTCTTCATGAACGGTACTGAAAACTGCAATGTACCGCCCGTGCCCCTAGCACCGGCTTAAGCATAATTCCACCGGCCAAAAAAATGCTATAATTTATTCAATGTCTCTAAAGTTTCTGATTTTGATGTTCCGTTACAGTTTACGAAACGGTGCTCATTAGCCATATAGCTGAACTATCTTTTATTTGATTGCCATTACTAAAATCATTTTTTTTTTTTGTATGAAGAACTGTTTTACATTTTTCAATCCTTATTGTTTACTTGATAAACTTGAAAGAGTACCTTGATCGAAATTTTAAAATTAAAATAGTTTGATTTCTAGAATTCCTATGTATTTATGAGGTTTAATGTGTCGTTAATATTATCAAATGTCACACATGTTTCAAAGTTAGATTTTATTTATTACAGGAGTGCTAGATATTGTATCGGCCTCTCTTCATAGTCAAAATTGTATACTTTATTAACATAAGATGCAAACATATCAAAATGTTCGTAGTTTCAATACTTTATGTAAAATTTCATTAGTCGTCCGTTTTTAATTTCAGAAAGAAGTTGGTTAAGCATTTTTGCCTTGTTTTTCAAATTCCTTATTTACTTCACTTAACTTTTATTCGTAAAGAGTATTTTTGATACAAACAAAAGAAACAAACAATGTAATTTGTGATCTTATGATTTGGAAGGATA